ATGATGGATGGATGATGGAAGGATGGATGGATGATGGAAGGATGGATGGAGGATGGATGGATGATGGAAGGATGGATGGATGATGGAAGGATGGATGGATGATGGATGGATTGATTGATGGATGAATAAATGGATGGATGATGGATGGATGGATGAATAAATGAATGAATGGATGGATGATTGATTGTCAGATGGTGGGATGACAGATGAATGATGGATGGATGGATGATGGATGGATGAATAAATGAAATGGATGGATGATAGAAGGATGGATGGATAGATGAACGTATGGATGATGGATGGATGAATAAATGAATGGATGGATGATAGACAGTTGGATGATGGATGGATGAATAAATGAATGGATGGATGATGGACAGTTGGATGATGGATGGATGATGGATGGATGAATAAATGAATGGATGGATGATGGACAGTTGGATGATGGATGGATGAATAAATGGACACATTAAAGTTTATGCAAAAATCGCCTCAACAAGCTCATATATTTACAAAAATCATTAAATAAATATGAAAATAAATAAATAAATAAATATGGTTATATTTTGTTTAACGCTCTAAAAACAAAGTTCCCTGAGGGCTTTTATTTTGTAAATATGACCGCTTTTCTTGCAAACCGGAAGTAGTATTTGTGTTTGTCGGTGTGACCCTGACCCTCTGCAGCACAGACCCTCCGTCTGTCTGGGAGGAAATTAAAACCATAAAACCTGTTTTATTTACTCCAACATCCGGTCAGACGGGCACGAGCTGATAAAAACCAACACTGACCGGAAAYAGGTCCGGCATGAAACCACGAGAACAGACCGGGACCAGGACCAGGACCAGGACCTGATGAGCGGACTCAGATTATTATGGATTCTCATGACGGACGCACTGGCCTGTGATTGGTCGGAGGAGGCGGGCTGCTGACCAATCAGAGCGCGCTCTGAGGGAGGCTGCTGCTCCTAGCAACAAGAGAACAACTTCCTGTCTGAAAACTTTAACAGCACGTGTTTCATCCTGACAGGAACAAATTTATTTAGTTTTTATTTACAGATTTTATTTCCTAATGAAAACTTCTGATAATTGTCTTGAAAAATAAAAGACTTGTGTGTTTTTATTGTGATGAATCTACCAGTTTACACAAATACTCATATAGTGACTAATAAAGTTATTTTTTTAAATAAAGTTAAGAAAAACTGAAGCAGGTGAAACGGAAGTGACGCAGTGACAGACACCAGCCAGCAGGTGGCAGCCCGTAAACACCTTATAAACAACTTCCTTCTTTCTGTTAGCAAAATAGCTTGAGACAGTAAAGTACACAGTGAAGTACACAGTAAAGTACATTTTATTTTTTATTTATTTTGTTTGTATTTACCTGATCAGGTGCTGCCCTGACCAACATGGCGCCGTCAGTGAGGCACTGCGCGGTGTTCTTCGGCCTGTATCCCTCCGCCGGCCTGCTGCTCGTCTAACGGTCAGCTCAGATGAAGCTCCCCGGCTTCGTCCTCCTCCTCTGCGGCTGTTTGCGGAGCTTTTCCCGCCTCCCGGTTCTTCAGGCAGAAGGTGAGCGCGGTTTTCTGTTAGTGTGAACGTGGTGCAGAAGAACCATGGAAACTATAAAAAAATAAAAGTTTGTCCTCGTGCGCTGAACCCTGTTACTTTCAGTTTGTCAACAGGACACAGCTGCAGTGTCTGCTCAACAACAGGTTTACTGTTCAAATTAATCATAAATGTGGATCAGTTTAGTGCCGAATTAGAAAAAATACTTCATTTTATGTGACGACACTAAAAGTTTATATCCTTTATTAAAGCATATTTTCTGAACTTAGATTTAATATTAAAT